CACACACACACACACACACACAATCAGACACACAAATGGAGCATGGTCACGTTGTATCCGCACACTCAGGAGGCCAATACACAAATACAAAAAAAAGCCACCTCACCATGACTCTTCTTCTAACGTCTAAATGAGCTATTCAAAAGTCAGAGATGTTGATTAATTCAAATCCCTTAATAACAAAGCTCAGCCTCTATTCATTCAGGATATTCAAGCACAGAAAGCCAGGGTCGGCCATGCAGGCGGAGCGTGGGTTTACCGCAGTGAGGAGAATAAAGGATCGCTCCTCTCAAGGACAGCTTACCTAAGTGATCACAAAGTGATGGTTTACCTGGAGATGATGTTGAGGGGAAGTTCATTGTCAGGACGAGGAGTTGGTTTGTTAAGAAGATGAGTTAAAAGTGCCCTTTGGGGGCGTTTGTGCAGAAACGTATGTACTGATACACGTAATCTTAAGGTACATTTTTAAATTCGATATTTGCATTAATTCAATGCTCTTGTGCAACCTTCAACGGATAAGTGGTATGAAAGGATGGAAAACTCGACTTCAATGTGAAAAGGTGCCTACCACTGTATACATAACTAATATTCATACAACCTGCATTACACCACTCAGAGTTAGGTATGGTTTTAACTCCTAGTATACATGAAAAATGTATTTAAAATGTTACAAGTACACAGAGTTGAATGCTGTTTTAATCACTTTGCCATCGTTTCATCGATTCTAATGATGGATTATTCATGGTCATGTACATAAACATGTTAATGTTTACAATAAGAACTGAGACACTTGAAGAACAAACTATTCATCATGACACTACTTCCTTCATTGCGAGCCAGTACAAATATTTTGCTAGCCTATATGTTTATATCTCCCTATATTTTTATTGCATGTTTGCTTCTTATTTCCCCCTTTGTTTTGTTAATTTGTCAAATTCCATCGTCGTGGGACTAAAGAAGGATGATTTGATCTTGTTGAGGAAGCCCATGGAGCTCCATGTAAAGGTTATACTGCTGCGAGCTGTTCTGGCTCTGCGCAAAATGCCTTCTACAATTTCAGTAATAGACTCAGGCTAAAATACCTCATCCTCCACAAGCACTACCGACTCTTTCTCTATCTCTCTACCACTGTATCTCTTTCTGGATTCACTCCCTCTCTTCCTCTCTCAGGTGTTTCAGCAGGTAAAAACCCCATTTCCCAGTTCCCTTTGGGGAGCGCTGACCTAACTGCCGGTGCTCCCCGGAGCCCCGGCTAACTCCGCAGACCCATTTGTCAACGTTGACCCTGAAACTATCCCTCTTTCCGCCCGCCTCCATCCGTCTTCCCTCCCTTCCCGTGCGTTCTCTCCTCCTCTGGTACTCCTGCTATTTTTAAAACCTCCCCACATGTCCTGCCGAACGCCCGTCCACCTATAAAGGCTATAAAAGCACCAAGGGCTGGATGAGATGGACAGAAATGGGGAGGATAAGGGAGCAAGACAAACAAAAAGATGTCAGAGAGACGGAGGACAGATATAGACGGAGAAGCTGAAGGGAAGTGTAACACTTAAAAGAACATACTTTATTTAAGAGACTTTCAACGGCCATTGGTCCACAGTGTACATTATTCTTACAAGAAAAAGCTGTAGGCGACTTAATACTTTTTAACAATGACTCAAATGAATGTGAGTAATATTTTTTTTAGAAAAAAGTTTGCATCTCCTTTTTCATTATTTCAGCTTTTACAGCTCAAAACTTTAATCAGTCAGGTTACATTTTTTTGTTTTTCCCCCCGAGAACTAAACTAATATATTTATGCATTTATTAAAATGTTGATTAAGGAGCTCTGTCTCTATGAAATAAACAGATAATTAAAGTTTGCAAGTAGCTGCTGAACACAGTGGAGCATTTAGCTCATTTAAAAAAAGAGGAGTCTGTAGAGAACAAATCAGAGCTGAAAGTTTTCAGAATCATGGATTAAAATGACAGGTGATGATGCTCCTAATCTGCCGAATGTGTAAATAGGCAACTGCTCAAGTTACTAAAATTAAAAAATATCAATATACGTTTTCTTCAGCGACTGTTTGTGTGTTACTGCTATTTGTGTTACACTCTGCGGATGTGGCCTTGTCACCTTGAGTAGCAGACTGATCTGAGGTGCTGGTATTGAGAGAGGTTGCGTACAGTAATTACAGTATGGGGTTCGGGGGGGTGGGATTTAATAGGATGTGCACAGACTATTCTCAGTAAAAACCTTATCGCTAATAACCACACACTATCAACTTAATTAAAGGCTGCTTCTTTAAAAGCCTCTCAGGTTTTCTCTGCACTCTATCTTTAACTCTCTCATTTCTGCTCATCCCATCAGTCTCCGAGGAGGAGAGGTGTCGAGTCACTCTCAGGCCGTCCCCCATTCTCTTCCCCCTCCATCTTTGAAGTCAGCTGAATTCTATACAACACTACGACCTAAAGGCCAAGAGCTCACTGCATCAGCTACATGATGTGACACGACACTTTAACGACTACATATTAAGGACCGTGCAGTTAAAAGAACCCAGAGTGCTGAGACGAGCTGCAAATGACCTGAAAACTAAAAATAGTTCTCTCCAAAAAAAAAAGTTGCTCGCTGCGGAATTTAAATTGGGAAGACAAAAATGTACATGGACACATTTCATAGTCGATGAAGCCTGGTTTATAAGCTGGTGCATAACTTTGTCCTGCAGAGTACTTACAAATCATGTCGCTGTCACACTGACTCATAGCAAACTATGTCCCTTACGTGTTCATGTACAACATACAGTACATGCTTCATACCTCCACTCGGCACAGAAAGTGCCACTGCACGTTTCTCAAACGTCAGGTGCGCCAAGTTAAAACACGCGTCACAGGACGGACACAAGCCTGAGCAAAGAGAACGGCTGTGCTGTTACTTTCAGTGTCACAGGGTTAATAGTTTGCCGTGTTGCGAGACGAAGCACTTGTGGTGTTCAGGCGACAGACAAAGTCAGGCTCGACAAGGCCTCTTAAGTTGTCCTTCATGTTAATAGACGCGATGCAGCATCCTCTTTTTATGCCAAGTTGAAGTTTCGAGAGCAAAGCGTCGGCTGAATGGACGGAGAGAGAGAGAAGAGGAGAGGCGGAGGGAGACAAATAAACCGAGT